AAAAAGAGGAAAATCTAATTAAGACATGATCTCTGGGAAGTGAACTGACCAAAATCAAAAATAGTAAATTTGATATTATCGCTTTATTACCACTTTTACATATGTGTTAACATTTATGAATGCATGAGCAGCAGCGCAGGGGGTGTGGGAGGAAGAGAGCAACAACGAGGGCTGTCTCTGGGGCAGACTGCAGTGGAGTGCACACAAGAAGGGCTGGGAAGCCTCATATGATACATTTACATGGATGTTACTGGTTATCTGCAGTGCTTTGTTATTTTTTTCCACCAATGGGTGACTTGGGTTTCCTTGCATTGAGTGGGTAAAGGAATCAAGGATGTGATTTCTGCAGGGGAAACCTTATTTTTGGCAAAGGTGATTTCTAATGTGTGTGCATATGCATGTGCATTTTTTCCATAACTGACTACAGAGATGTGGAAGAATTAAAGGAAGTAGATTTAATTCAACCCAAGTAAATAACCTGAATTTGATCATGAAGATATGTTTGTTTCTTTGGATCAGTAGTAGCTATTATATGAGCTTTAGTGTCCCTTGGCCTTAATTTTTCACATCTATAGAGCTCAGTAGGGATTGCCCACTTTTTCAGCATCCCCAGTCCTAAAAGTAAATTTCCCATGAATTCGATCATAGGAAAATAACGGGCCAAAAATAATGTCTAAAATCTCCAAAACTGTTAATTTGACGTCCTTTAAGTTATTAGGTAATTAAACATACTACAAACATAAGCCAGGAAAAGAGTAGGCAAGTACTGAATATTTGACATCACAAGTACTGAGGTGCATTGCTAAGAGCAACAGAAGCTAGAAGGTAGATAGAAAATAACAACAAGTGAAAGAACATCAACAAGGATTAAAGTGACACACAGAAAACATGAGTAAATGGAGCACAAGTGAGGCAAATGTGGAAGAGTCTCTCTCTTCTGGAAGCTGTAGAAAACTAAAATAAGTAAAGTCATGTTCAGTAAAGCAGCTTTCTGTATTTCCATGTCTATCTCCCTTACAAGTCAAGTTTCCTATCTGAATGTGTTCCTGGCTCCACCTGAAAGGAAAATGCGCCGATCCAAACAGTCACTTTGCTCCAATCGAAGCCTCACCAACAGCGTCAATAAGAAGCCACAAAGACGCAAACTGGCAAGTTCATCCAAGGATCACATTGTGATTCACAAATGCGTGTCCATCTCTCCATCTCCGCAGCCAGACAGAAATAGTCAGTTTTGGCACTGCCATAGTTTTGCCTCTTTCCCTCTGCACTGTCTGTCCCTCCCTCCTCCCCTTTCATCTCAAAGCAGGAGGGAGTGGGGGGGAAACTGAAGTTATTGCATGTGACACACCCAGGAGAGAAAAAAGGGGGGGGAAATCGCATTACTTCACAAAGCTGAATGCCACAGGAGCAGAAAGAGATGTAGCTCTCCTGCTGCTTAATAACAGTGGAAATATTTAAAATAGGAGCAGCGGCAGCAACGGTGGAATATTTCTGAATCTATATTTAGATTGGGAGTGATGTGCCTCGCCCTCGCAGCCATGGCTCATGTGGGATTCACAGGGGAGACATGGAAATGCATCAGGGTGGAGATCAATCTAGCATGCTGCAGAGTAAAATGCAGAAAGATGTCTTTCCCCTTGCACGAACACACACACACACACACACACAATCGGGCCAATATATCATATATTATCAAAACAAGTTCTGTCGTGTTCAGGCTGATGGCGGACGATCAAACTGAATCCTCCTGCATTTATTCCACAAGAACATTTCAAAGCATTGTAATCTCTAAATGAGGTAGGATTTACAGAGTGAGCTACAAAGTCAAATTCCTTTGTACAGCCTCTTTACAAGCCATCTATTTTTAGCTTCCGCTGCCATCACTACTCCAGCTGGATGCAAGAATATCATCTGCTATTCATTCATTCACTAACCAATAACCTGACTCCCGGGCTTGCTTTCACTCGCAGATTTCAAACATTATTACTTTCCAGGATCTTGTCACAGCAAATTGCATTGATTATTCGGCTCTACATCAGTTGGCTTTAATTACATTTACTTTGCATTGCTTCGCTAAGCATATATCTCCACGTGATTGCGACTAAATTACAATTAGCCAATGCCCCGTGCTCCTGGGAGAAAGACATAATGGTGGTTTCATGTAAATCAATGGCATGTGGGTGTTCATCTGCAAAAAATAATGAGGTACTGCAGAAGCTGGCTGAACAGTGTCACTGATAAACCTGAATTGATTTTCACTGGTATAGATTGCATAACACTGTTAAACATTATTTTTTTGTTAAGTAAAATAAAGAAAGAGCCTTAATCTGTCGCACAGCTTACAGCTTCAGTGGATATTTTACATGGGTGGAATTACATTTATTCTTATTTAGCAGTATTCAAAACTTATACCACAAGTGACAATCCAATATGTTTCTTATTTTCTACTTCAATTTCTCCCTGAATTATAAGAAATCCATTTCCAAAGCCCATTAACACACTGAAGAAGCTTTAAATCTTAAAATAGGATCATTATGTTTATTTATATCCCTTAGTTGCTGTCACATTGATACCCTTTTACAGTCTAAGTTGTTCATTTTAAAAATGGACACCATTTCAAACAATCAGGTCAAGAGAATTCCAGTGAGCCAAAAACTTCTAAAATCAACGTGCTTAAAATATGCAACGGGGGTTAGAGACCATCTCAATCTGACTCTGAGTCCTAAAACTAAAAACCCCTCCAATCAAAAACCAATAAAAGCCACATTTTCAACAGAGTGTTTACGTCTGTGTTTGTGGGTGACACATATTTCTTAAATAAATCATACAAAATATAACAGAATCAGTTGTCTCTCCACTGAGCTTCTAATTACTTGGAAATACTCAAATGTTTGAAAAAAGCAAAACCATACCAGGTACACACACTGAAAATCAAAAAATCAGACAATGTCCAAAAAAGCCCTTTAAAGGCCTCTGGAAAGCCTGAAAAATTACTGCTCTAGACTACTTTAAAAATGAAGAAAAAAAAGTGACTCCTTGGAAACAAAACATAAAGAAGAGAAGACTTTTGGACAGTACTGTAGGTATGGGCGCATCAGTATTGACACCAGCATTGGTAATCCAATTGGACTGAGGGGACCAACATTGTTATTTCAGCTTAGACATATCTGAAGTGAACATCTGAAGCCTCAGTAAACTACCAGCATAAAACAGTTTTCAGCCAGCTGCACGTTCTGGAGTGTCAGACCAGATCATGGAATACCAGCAGCTGCAGTCCGAGACTGTGGAGTCAGATCCTGCCACAGTAGAAAACTGATGAGTTCACCAGTGCTAAAATACAAGTGTGGGGATTGCCCAATTGTATATTGATCCCATCAGTGTCTCAAATGGAAGTAAATCTATATCTAATAATAACATAATAATAATATATATTTAAATACTTGGTGTCTAGTAATATATTTAGGAAGCCAGCCCAAATAAATGTTAAATATGTATATACTAAATTTTGCTTATTTAGTTGTTTTTTTCCATCAGTGATACAGCTAAACAATTTAATTCATATTCATGAATATGACCATGTATCTGTTCGGTTTGTATCTGTGAATTTTTATGTTATATTCATTCACTGATGCAGGTATATATTATAATATATAAATGAACGTATTTCAGCTGTTTACTTATCATTCTTTTGATTGGGCGCACAGTGCAGTGTTTGTTTGTTTTTTGTACTTTATCAAAATCAGTGAGGTCGCATGAGGAAAAATATCAAGCCACCCTTGCTCTAAATGGTCAGTTTTGTTTTATTTTATTCCTATATCGCTCTGGGATTAGCTCGTTTCCTTATATGGGCATTTCTGAGACGTGAAGGCGTGGCTTAGTTTTGTTTGGAGAAGCCAGGCGAGGGGCTGCCAATTAGAAGATACTTTCAGGAGGTGAGGATTAAAGAGACAGGAGCCTGGTTTTGTTCAGACAGAGAATGAACTGCAGGACTGTATATACTAAAGATACAACAAATTTTAATGTTAATTGTTAACTGTTAATTATAAAATGACGCTGCAGCAGATTCCAAGATTAGAAATATGGAGGTGGAGAAGAACACAGTAGGTCTTCTTTGAAAGTATCTACTCAATTATTTGAATCCTTGTGTCTTTAAAGCAAAGCGATTAAATGTATGTGTGAAGCAAAGAAAAAAGAAAGAAAGAATTGATCTGTAGATTGATGGATTAATAGATCAATGAATCGGTTAAAGGGAGAGTGCAGCAGGGGTTGGGTGTGGCTGACGTAGCAGAAGCTCAAGTACTAAATAATGAATTTAAAAATAAAAATAAATCTTGAATTCAAGACACTATTAATGATAAGTTTAGTTCAGAACTAAAGAAACTGGATCAAATGATGGTAGTTTGTGTTAAGAATAAATATAAATAATAAAGTCTTTAAAAGGTTACAGTAAAAATAAATTCTGTGTGCTGGTTTTAAATTAACACAATGCGTATGAAGCAGCGTGAGTGGCTGGTCAACAGATGGTAGTGTTGACAGGCTGCTGGGTTCATTGGCCAGCTCTGTGTACAGTTAGCAGGGGGTCACCAACAAGCCCTGGGATGTTAGTCTCTGCCAGTCCCATTTTATCACATGTACACTTCGGCTGTGAAATCCCTGCTTATCACAGCTCCATTCAGCTGCCACCAAAAAAGCACCTGAACAGTATGATTTATGAACTGGGGTTTGCACTGTCTGACAAGGCAAACAATCCCACTTTGTGCCGCTGCTGCAGATATGAAACTTTGTTCTCAGATATGTGATTTTGCTTTAGATGAATGAGCGACGGTGTGAAGTGAAGGTCGAGCTGAATGCCAGCCTTCAGTCAAGGAGAACATTTTTATTTTCAGCTCAAAGGAGCATGGCATGTAGATTATCAGCTAACACTTCAAAAAATGATTGCATGAAGAGATCCAAGGCTGCACGGCGACACATGTACAAGCTCACAAGAGTCTCAGGCTTACTGGAAAGTAGAGAAGCAGAGCCCCGCACAGGATGGCCTCCAGCAGGACAAGACCTGATGCTCTGATACTCTGTGGAAACACAAACACACAACAATTATTAAACTTCTGATTTATCGACCATTTAATATATAAGAAATCTGAGCACAAAATAGGAATAATATGTTTAGCCAACTGGTATCAAAGACATTCACAAGCTCAAGTTGTTCATCTTTTACTAGTACAGGGTGGTGGGACTAGTGGTGTTGTTGTAGCCCCAGGGAGATCAGTCAACACATCAAGCTATGATTATTTAACTTGAAATCTGTATAAAGCAGAGATGCAGAGAACCACAACAGCAGCCAAGTCCTGATTCTTTCAGTACCTGTGCCAAATACTCTCAGTCTGGTGACGAGAAAATATAGCAATAGCAAAATCAACTTGTAGCAGTGGACAGAGCAATATTAAACCAACCATTAAAGGATAAGGCAGCTCAGGAGAGACTGTGCTGGTGGAAAATTGTCGTTGGCCGATCCTCCAGGAAGGACCAAAGGCTTAACTAACTATTACTGAGGTTTTATTGGGGCCTTTTCACTGAAGAAAAATCCACCAAACAACCACATTTCAAAGCCATGCAATGGCCATAACACCAAAACAGTGATGTCAAAGAGACTCAAATGCTTCATAAAGAGCAATTGTAGTGTTGGGTGGTTCGTCACTATGACCAACTTCAATTACATTACAAACAGATTGCAGAAGAAAGTTTTTCAATTTTTAATATAAAAACATAAATGGACAGCTTTAATTGTGATGTGTGTGTACCGTAAACAGAAATAAACCAAATAACATGTACAGAACTGCCCACTTTTTAAAAGATATAACAGAAACAGGGTATCATTTAGGCGATTCTGTAAGCCAAAAAGTTTTTATTCATATTAAAAATGTATCACACAGCATGTCAAAATACTCAAGGCTGATTTAAAGAGGATGGAGGTTTGTTCCTTGTTACTTGAAAGAGGAGAAGAGCAAAGCAAAAGCTCCTCCCTTAAGCACTTTTTATAGAAGCATCCACCATTTGCAGGCGCTTTGTGTGCACCTCTTGTGTAAGATATTTAGCAACATATCGTCCTCTAATTGACAAGGCGCTTGAGGGGGGCTTTCAGAGAGCAGAGGACAGCTGTGCCACCCATTTAAAGATACATGCAAAAGAAAGCAAAAGGGCTCTCTTGGTGCACCAGATAAACTTATTTAATTAAATTGCATGAATGTAATTGAAAAGTCTGCAAAGGACTTTGAAACAAAATCTTAAACTTAGTTTAATGACATTAATTGGAATTATATAAGTAGCCTTTAAATTATGACAAAGCCCTGGAGTACCTGAAACATCCATCTGCTTTAATAATGGGGATGATCCTTTGATGAACTCTAGCCGTTGTAATGGCAGAGTCCTCGGGTGTGGAAGACAGAGCAGCTAGAAGTTCCTTTGTCAGGAATGTGGAGCATCTTCAGGCTAAACCTCAGATGTTTGATGCTCAATTCAATGCTAGTAATTAAGACACTTAACTGACAGAAACAACGGGAGCAATGGGAGGCTGAAAAGTTCAGAGATTTAATTAGGTAGATGTTAAACTAAAGAAAAAATGTTTGAAATATTAACCATACAAAATCAAGTTTTGTGTCTTGACATGAATATATATTTATTTTTTTGTTCCAAAACACGAGACATTGTACGGTGTATTCAGGTAACACTGAACAGTGGGAGCAGTCGCAGTTTTCCCCATATGGTATCTCACTTTTTCTTATCCTGGAAAAGTACGCAATACACACCCCGTCTCCTTCTGCTTTTTGTGGGAGTTTTTTCTTCCCACTGTCACAGAAGGGTTACTTGATTGGGTTGTCTGACTGTTGAGGTTTTCTCTCTAACATTGTAGGGTCTCACACCTGAGTTGGCTCCTGTAGTGAAATGAAACTGAATCTCCTGTTTGTCTGCTACGGTTTGCAGATCCTAGCAAGTGTAGCATCCTGAGTGTGTGTTGAGGTAGTTCTGTGTTTTGAGTCGCAAAGCTTTTGAATATTAGTATTAATATATAAAACACTCTGTTTCTAATGCATGTTTCATTTTCCGGCATATTAGAGCAGCGATGCTCAGACACCATCAACAAATTGAGTTGCTAGATTGATGAGGAATCTGTGTCATCAAAGTGCTGCTTAGTAAATGACTAAAATATAGTCTTGCTGATAACTAACAAATGTAACTCAATGCCCTCCACAGCATTCTGACGCTAGTCTAATTCTGGTACTTGAAAACTCCAGGACTGATTCCTGGAGGATCGATCTCTGTTTCTCTTCCACAGCATGTCTTTTATCCTGTCGTCCTTCTCTCACCCCAACTGGTCGCGGCAGTTGGCCGACCCTCGCTGATCCTGGTTCTGCCGGAGGTTTCTTCCTGTTACAAGGGAGTTTTTCCTCCCCACTGTCGCCAAAGTGCTGGCCCATAGGGAGTCATATGATAGTTGAGTTTTCTCTGTATGCATTATTGTAGGGTCTACCTTACAACATGAAGCGCCTTGAGGCGACTGTTGTTGTGATTTGGCGCTAGATAAATAAAATTGAATTGAATTGAGTTGAAAAGCCAAATCCCACTTTTAAAAAAGTAGTTACGTAGATCCAAGAAACAAAAGAATCACCAAAGAGATGCTGCGAATTAGACTGAATTTGTAATTCGTGTAAGTAGTATGTACTTCTTCATGTAAGGAAAGTATAGACTTAGAGGGGGTTAGAGTCAGAGGTTATGGTTACATCACAATAACATGAAAAAATGAATGAGCTCTTTTGATCAACCACAAAATTTGTATAGGTATCCTCACCCAGGCAAAAAAAAAAGGACAACCGTTGTATTTGAACCCAAACCACAATCGTTTTCTAAACTTAACAGAATAGTTTTTTAAGCCTTTAAGTCCATTTAAAATCTCAAACCTGACTAAGTCTCTAAATTCCTCCACTACCAGCACATCCAGCCTGTTTTCTTTTTTTTTTTTTCACTTTTTAGATAGAAATTGAGATCTAGAAAGGTGATACAGTAGATGCAATGAGATGGAACTAGGAGGAGGATGATCCACTGCGGCGACCCCTAAAGGGAGCAGCTGAAAGTAGGTATGGGGCTTGTCAAATGAAAAAGCTCATTCAGGCAAAGAAAAACCAGACAAACACAAAAACAAAAATAAACGTGACTAATTCGCAAACTCATGCCATGCTCGAGTAAGAAACGAGTAAAATACAGTATTCTCCACGTTTGCTGATCATTCACTCTCTGTGACTGATTATAGGACCCCACCGTACCACAGGCAGCACTCTTGCATGAGCTAAATCTCAATCTTTACTTTGCATCACATCTTACATTCATACTCTTCTTTTTAAAGGTGCATGGTCTCAAGGTCATGTAAATAATGTAAAACTTAGTGAAGTTACTAAATTAAGCAGGAGATTTCAACCAGGTGTCATCATTCAAATATACATATAAACCACGCATCATAAGTAAAAGATTAAACAGATTGAATGGTGAGTGGTCTGATGTATGAATCAAAGTAAATGTGCTTTTGTGTTTGCAAACTTTGGTCGTGATCCAAGGTGGTGATTTTGACTTGCTCTGAAGTGTTCGATTCATTTGAAATCATTTCAAAGCTTTATTGTGACCACCCACATTTGGAACTACTGTTTATTAGTTCGAGCGGGCTTTGATGACCATATGGCCTACAAAACATCAAACATGTTGATGTGATGTTGCAATTGTGAATTAAATTAGTGTAGATCTCTCTTATCCACTGTTGAGTCACAAAACTTTAGCTCTTCATGGCATTAATGACTACATTCTTGGTTTAAAACACATAAATATGATTATATTAAAGAAGAAGATGCCCTTTAATACCAATTCAAGATGACGTATCTGGAAAATCATTGTTTTATTATAACACCTACCTTATTCCTACGAAAGTGGTATATAAGGACCATGCTAATGAAGACGATCAGCATGCAGAGGCACTGGAAAGAGACCACAGCCATGCGAAGAGCGCCATCCTCTTGTACCACACAGGGGGTGTCATCTTTACAGTAGGCACAACCCTGCTGGCAAGGCAGGCAGTCACTGGAAGATCCCTCCTCTGTGTTGGGACTGCTATCTGCAGGTTTTCCCTTCCTCCCCATTCCTGTCAAAGAAAACATTGAAAAGAAGAAGTCCCAAAATCTTAAATACTCAAAGAAACAAACACTAAATAAAAACTCTCACAGGTTGATTTCATATTTTTTGTGTGTTCCAGGACAATTATAGCTACATTTTTAATAATAATAAAAAATAAATAAACGGCCCGAAATACTGACACAATAACCCCGCCAACAATTTTCTGCAACTGAAGTTCATTTAGGCTAAAGTAGCACATAAATTAGTGCATTTAATAAAAATTAAAAATACTAAAAAATATCTGAATTCAAGAGCATAATGTGCTGAATAAATACATTTCTGAAATATTAAATGCAATTCCAACAGCTAAAAGTTATGGATAAATATTTAATGGATAAAATGACAAATAATTTTAGCTTATTCAGTTAGCTAACAATAGAAATGAATTATGAAATATAATGAAGTAAACGTTGTACTCTTAGTTTATAAAGCAAAAGAAGAAAACAAAAGAAAGATCAACAGTTGAAAAATGCTAGAATTAATGGTGGGACTGATAAGTTGTTAACTTAAAATAAATGAGCTAGATGATAAACTGTCGTGTGAAAAAGAAAGTACACACTCAAGTTTTACGTTTTTACGTATCAGGACATAAAAAGAGATCATCTGGTTCTTAAGAGGTTCAAAAACTGGTTAAATATAACCTCAGATAAACAACAGGGCAACATATTACACAATGTTACAGAATATTTAACAAAAAAATGAATGTGTGAAAAAACTATGTACACCCTTCCTCCATCCATAGGAATCAAGAGGGTAAATAGCATTTCTGCTAATCAGATGCAGATCATCGTAAACAAGTCTGAGCAGCTCTATAAAAGTAAAGAAGGCCATCATTGTACACTAAGAAAGATTATTCACAAGTGAAAAACATTCAAGACAGTTGCCATCTCTTACCAGGAGTGGACATTCAAGAAAATTCACCCCTAGATCAGACTGTGCAATGCTCAGAGAAACTCCAAAAACCCAAGAACTACAAAGCTTTGTCCAAATTTGTTCATGCAACATGACAATGATGAGCAAATCTACAACAGAACAGCTGGAAAAGAAATCAAGGTAATGCCATGGCCTTAAGAGAGCTGTGCATAAACAAATGCCTTTAATAGAAATTATTTAATAGAAAACACATAACAAATAGAATACCCATGCGCTATAAAATAAATCAGAGTTTAAAAAAGTACATTTATTAATATGGTAACACAATCTGACAGAGTTAGTTAGCTAGAAACAGAACTAGAAAATCAGTTTGCCAGTTGGTTGAAATTTTTTGCTAAAGTTGAATGAATGAATTTGAAACAATAATCAATAGTGTAGTTAAAATATTGGTTGAATGGTTTGATCACTTTGTTATAGGTAAATATAAAGATAAAAGACTGTAACATCTACTTTCACTGAATTAGGTTTTACACAACTACCCTTGACCTGTAAATCTGTTTGATTTGTATATGTGTTTTTTTTTTGTTTTTTTACTAAATAATTTGACATTCGACATCATATTTTGAAGAAGATAGGAACAGATGGTACAGCAACTGTCATTTAAATTTTCCTTGTTATTGAATTTTCCTCCAGATCTGTCCAGATGAAGTGCGTCAGTGGCAGAGTGAATCCCGACTGTATATATACTCTTCTTCGTCTCTGACCTTACAAGAAGCCATCGACACTGTGTCAACAAAAGGGAGATGGATCTCTGTGTGTGAACATGGAAAGTCAACACTGCTCAACCCTGTTCAGTCACAGGCATATCATACAAGGCTGATGACTTCAGCTCCCTAATAAAAACACACACAAAGACTTTTTTTAAAAAACTTTTTTGGTTTATCCTACCAGGACCAGAGAAGCTGTGAAATGTTTTTGAATGAAGCGTAGAATAAACTAACTATAACCACTTCAAAAGTAGCTGTTTTTTTATTTGCTCAAATACATTGGTCACATTGGGAAGCAGCAAAAACGTACGCAAACTTAAGAAAAAAACTCTCTCTCAGGGTAAAGTAAGGTAAAAAACAAAAAAAAACTAAACAAACCCAGGGGGACAACAAGGAGGAAGTGGACTTGTTATTGGCTTGTATAGAAATCCCCTGAGAGATGCCCATGTGGTTGGATAGATAACACATTTTGGACTTATAGAGCTTTTATAGAGGCTTTATTGGAAGCAGGCATTGTCTCAGAGATTTGCAGGGATTTTGCCTTTAAAAAGAAACTGGCCTATTTTTCAAAGCTATGACTCGGCACATCATTGATCCCTTCAAAAGGAGTACTTATCTCGGTAGCACTGAGTCATTTCCTTTAGCTCATTCTCAGTGGTTTGTTGCTGCTACGTTTGAGTGACAGTCAAAGGAAACGCAGCTACAGTAACCTCTCTCCCATATTTATATGCAAGATACACAATGTAAGATCACTGTGAGACAAAGGGAAGAGAGTTGCACAGGCTTCCTCTGCAGGAGTGTCAGTGATGTCCCCTTGTGGATTAACAGGCTTGTTATTGGCCCCATGGTGGGCCAAACTGCAGCACAACACCTCGCTAACAGGCTTGCTTTTCCTCTCTATTGCTGGGTTAACAAAGATGCACACACACTGAGCTTTCATGCAGATTTGAACACTTGCACATGCAAGTTTGTGTGCCTTCGCAGCACACAAACTTGCACAAACAACACAAATTGGCTAAATCAGACAGAACATATATTTAGCTCTCTGTGCACGAAGTGTGACGTTTTAGAGTAAAAAATGGATGCAATAAGATGGTGGAAAAATCTGAGTGAAGGAAGGTAAGGGGGAGGGAAATGGATGAGAATGGGGGTAAAATTGAAACAGACGCAGGAGAACACGCTGTATGAGGTTTGAGTGGGATGAGGCAGGAGGGAAAGTGGATTGAAATGAAAGTATGGCACAGAAAGTGATGGAGGGCAGGTGAAAACCACTGGGGTTCTGTGTCTGCAAAAGCCTTTTTTAATTAACTCACAGCAGACAGAATAAACTGGAGAAAGTCGCTACCATTAAAAAGATATTTCCCTTCTCGAACCAGATTAGCCTCCCCAGGTACTGGGGCTACTTCAATTTTCAGACAGGGCGGATACGGTTATCGCAAATAGCTGACGGTCCTCGTCATAAAGTGCAGCTTTTAGCAGAGTCAGAATTAATAAAATGAACTTATTGTTAATTCATCTGCTCTATTTTAGTGAGAGAAAAAAAAGGATGATTATGTGGAAACATTTAAAAAATTTCCAAACATTTGCTGCCAAACTGCTTGCAAAATCTGATGCTAAATAATAATTTTTTACCTTTGTGTCTCCTGTGCTTTTTACTTCCTGTTCCGCTAATTACCCGCTTGAATTACCCCACCTTAGCTGTTTCCACCTGTGCTCTGTTCTCACCTGCCTCTCATTGTGCAATCAGTCCTGTGTGTCTACATATAATCCTCCCTTCACCTTCATCAAGACGTCAGTTTTCCCCCCATGTTTTACTGGTTCTTAGTGTCTGGATACGCCCTGTTTAGTCCAGTGACTGCAGTTGACATTGTTTTTTTCAGATTTTTGCCAATTAAGGCACTTCTTTTTCATTGTTATTCCACCAAACTCTACATTCTGCACTCAGCTCTTCTCTTCACCTCAGTCCAGGACAAAGGTTTTAACTGTGGACGTTGCAAATCAAAAAGTATGATAAACACAACTTACCAATCCTTCAGTTTACTCACATTTGTCAGATCTTTCAGCCACGTTTCATGGACTGCTGTGGCATTTAGTCAGTAAGAAAATTTCCAGACAATTTCCAGAAAATATTAAATGCCATCAAACATTTTGATATGCACAGAAGTAACTAATATATTTAACAAAGGTGAATTAAAGCCAGGGTATAATTGGGCACATACTGGCTATAATGTACGCACTTCCACCTGTGATTTCCCTGCTTTAAGTCATAGGGTTGTTCATTGTTAGCATGTTTAGCAACACTTAAACGCAGCCACATGAATAAAGTCTGCATACAAGGAACAATCATCTTACAGTGACTGATTTGCCATTACTTACTTGTAAAACCATTGACAGCTACTCTGTTGGGATGATAGAAACCTTTCCTGCAGTGGCACTTGTACTTGTCCAAGACAAATCCGTGACCACGGATCGGCAAACACTGAGAAGAGAAGACCAGAGATAAAAATGAGTGCAGTTTAAGCTAGAATAAGTTTTACAATCAACAGCGTTTAATCGTGACATCTTGTAATGCAGACACAGATGTGAAAACTATTAAAATATGTCAATACCAAAGCAAAAAGTAAAGCCCGCAAACCACATTCAGCAAACAGACTGAGATCAAGTGCCTTGCGGGAGGGACACGGGTCTAATTATTTAAGTTGTGAGATTCCTCTTTCTGTCTAACTGTGCCTCCTCGTCTCTCCATATTAAATTAGTAAAGCCTCTTCCATTTGATTGAACGTGTGATAGGAAGTAGACTGAGAAGAGCAGAGAAAAACACGAGGGGCGTCAGGGGGCACCCTTGGCAGACTTTGTGTGCTGTTTGCCAAATTACAAGACATAATTAATAGCTAAATTAAGAACAGACTTATTTGCCTGATTAGAGAATCGCCATTAATTCTATTTCTTGTGGGAATGAGATTTCATCATCTCCCCTGTACAAACACATTTTCCCTTCTCATTCTTGCTCTCCTTCAAAAACTCCTTTACTGTTTTTTTTTTTTTTTCTCCACACAACGTGAACATGTTTTTCTAAACCAAGACGATAATGACTTATGAATCCAAAGAAACGACAAGAGGCCCAGAATAGCAACGGTACTTTAGCTGACACTTGACACGCTATGAAGTGTTTGTGACCTGACTGAGAGATCTAGAGGAAAGGCCGGTGGCAACGTCAAAATGAAGCACCAGTCACTGTGATGCTCTTCACAGCGGACTGGACTCGGCATGTCTTGAGAGGCTGCTATTTCTGACTGTCTCTCAAGGTCCTTGGTGAGGGCTGAATGCATTTTTCAGTCCGAGAGTGTGCGCTCCTCAGTCAAAGCCTTGAGAGGCCAGCCAGGACTCAAAAGCCCAAGGTAATTACCAGGTTACTATTCAGTGGACAACTTCCTCAAGTAAATTCCACTAAAGAGGCCAAAGTATATGAAGTGACTCTTCACTAATCTGTCGAAGACGACTTGTCGTTTTAGTGGTGAGACCCTAGAAAGACCCTCAATCTGACACCTGTGAATCTGATTTTCCTCACCACTGTACTCAAACACTATATCATACCCACACGGCTCGTAACGAAGTAGATGCTTATTTCAAGACATACCCTCTATGTCACGTATCTGTCAAGTATTGGCGGAGAGACGACCCAAATGCAGGTAAAAATCATTAGAGAGCATGTCTTTATCGGCTAGAAAAACACACGGTCCGAAAGAGAAAACAAAACAGAATCACTGGGTGCTGTCTAGTATTTATAAAATGTCCTCCCACTTCCTTTACCCAAATCAATTTACCTGGAAAATGTCAAGAAATGTATAAAGTTATATGCACATAGCATTATATTTTAGTATATTATAGTATATTTATATTTTAGAATCCTTAACAACATGGCGACAAATCTCATCTGTGTTGCAGCATCAACAGAAAATGCACACCCTGCGTGATCTCACTTTGTTGTTTGAGCCAGGCCATATAAACAAGAACCATCAGTGAAAAACCTCAATTTATCCCAACAGCTGGAATTTTAAAGGAAAAGGAAGACGTGCTTGGATGAGGAAATCAATTAAAGGCAATCCCAAAGACTAAAAATACAATGACAACCTGAATCTTCAAAGATGACAACAATCTGTTTTGATAAGAAGCAGAGTTATTCACAGGAGCCTAATGTTCATAGTTCAGCTGTGGGCTTAACATAGCGACTTGTTGAAGGTTTATTATGGCTGCCAAACAGTTAGGAACCTTTCTGGGTACATTTGACTGTTTGAAACAAAAATGAAACATAAGCAAAAGCAGACAATCAGAAAGGAGGGAAAAGAACAAAAGCAGGAAATAAAAGAGCTGAGGAACCAAACCTTCAAAGTAAAACAGGAAGTAACCAAAAGATAACTAATTAACCACAAGGCATCACGACAGATAAAGGGGAACGCAGAAAGCAGAAAATAACACTAGAGACAACCGAACACTAACAGAACCGCTGACATTTTGTTATATATGTTATGCTATTAGTGTCACATGCTTTGAATATATTCCCCCATCATGCTTTTTTAAGCGCTCTTCCACCAGTCATGTTCATGGGGAATAAAAAAGCCCAGAGTTTTTCTTTAAAAGAAGTTTTACAGTAGCTTCTGTTAATTTTTGTTTATGCACAGACTGTGTATTGAAGGGTGTAGCCACAGTGATATGATTCACTGGTTTGTGAAGCCCCATCTGGAAGCCTTAAACAAAGTATTAAACACTCTGTTTTGAAAACAGACATATGAAGCTAGAGCTGACTGTCAAACTACAGTTTGACACTGCATGCTCATACCGTAGCAACTTCTCATTCAGAAAGTAGCCATGCCCGAAAGCATTCCCTGCTGCTGTCATCTGGTTTTCTCTGAAGAGCAACGTTAGTTACCCAATAAACATCATGTTACATTTAGTAAGATTTGAAACTAGTGACCACAAAGAAAATAGACCAAATGTTCATTAGCAAAGTGTTTAGTGTGGCTATAGAAAACGTGACCATCAGTCTTTATGTAGCCAGAGGAGTTGCCCCCAGCTGGTCAGCTACAATAGAGGTGCGACTCCTTAGCCATCCTTTATATACAGTCTGTGGGTTTGTTGTTATACTGTTGACTAAAGGATATTTTAAACCTCACTAGAAATAAATTATTTTATAGTGAAAGGCAGGTATATTTTGTAAAATTTAGTTACAGTGAAGATCACACAGAATTATCACCCAACCTGCACAGCATTTTAGCATCTTTAGCTCAGTGTGGTTGTTTAATGAGAAGTTCTAGAGGTCCATCTGTGCAGCTCCAAAGAGTGTATGAACAGAGTTAGTGACTTGTTGTGTTTCACGTAAAGAGTGCTGCAGGAGCTTATGAATCAGTTTTGGAGTTAAGTACATCAGGTCTGACTCAGAGAAGTGACTCCAAATAAAGGCTTATGCTGCTAAAAGCATAGGTGAGCAATAACACACTTGAATGGTGATGATGTATGAGTAATTATCTTAATATGCTACTCCATTATCTTGCAAACTTGTTAACTTGTAATAACATATGCAAACAAGAGCACAGATACTCTAGAGAACAATGAGGGAGAAGAATATAGTTCATTATTATAAAAGTCTTACAGATGCAGAATTTGATTACTTTCTTTTGTAAAACTGCATTTTACTGATACCTTGTTTTGTACTTAATAAAATGGAGGCTTATGCAGCTTATGGACCTGATTTTTCTTTGCTTATTATTGGCTTGAAATGACAGCCAGAGGTAACTGCAAACTGCCAAGTCACTCAAAACCAGAGACTCAGATTGGACATTGATGAATAAAATGAATGAGCGCATAAATAAGGTGCTTAGGAAGCTGTTTGGATTTCACTGGATAGTTTTAGCTCCACACTGTCTAGAGACCAAAAAAATCACAGAATTGAATCTGTAAAGCAGATGATTCGCCATATTGGCGAGTTGTCCATCTTTCATCTGAATCCACCTGCTCTTGCTTTAAATGAGGACTGTGGAACAACAAAAAGTCTGGTAACTGATTTCCCCACTGATTCTCCAAAAGTCACTACCTCAGGTCAGGTTCATCGTGCTACAGCTACTGCCTGCCACTGTTAATATTCCCACCTGATGGAGACACTAGGAGAAACTGTCAGAGACAGGTGTGTGTGTGTGTGTGTGTGTGTGTGTGTGTGTGTGTGTGTGTGTGTGTGTGTGTGTGTGTGTGTGTGTGTGTGTGTGCCAGCATGCATATTTTTAGTGTGTGTGACAGGGGGAGCCAGGAATAGCCCTGGCAGTACATCCCATTCCTGCCTGCTGTGGTGACTGATGCAGGGGCTCAGATGTGGAGTTTGTTGAAGGGAGAAGCAGTCCACCTCTGAGCTACCTGCCATCAATCACATGTGATCTCAGGCAGAAGACTGGTACATTTCAAAGGACTGTAAAATGCAAAGCCACAAGAAATCTTTCATCTTAAAAAAACAAGATAATGTTCTTAGAAAATTAGTCATAAAACAGTAATTGTATCTTTTACATTGTTTTATGAACCATATTGACGATAGGTACAACTGTTCCTCTGCTCGTTAATCCAAATATCTAATCAGCCGATAGCACGGCAGCAAGTCAGTGCAATTAGGCATGTAGACATAGTTAGGATGTCTTACTGAATGTCAAACTGAGCATCAGGATGCAGCAGAAAGGTAATTTAAATGACTTTTAAACAGCATTTCAGAAACTGCTTATTTGCCGGGATTTTCCAACACAACCAACTTCAGGGTTTAAAGAGAAAATATCCAGTGAGCAGCAGGTCTCTGAGCTAAAATGTGTTATCAGTCAAGGTCAGAGTAGAATAGCTAGACTTCATCAAGCTGAAATAACCACTCGTTGCAAACCAAGGTTTGCAGAAGAGCATCTCTGAATACACAACCCATTTAAAGCTGAAGCAGATGGACCACAAGCAGCAGAAGACCACACTGGGTGTCACTCTCTGCACAACCTAAGCCCAAAACTGGACTCTCTGATGAGCTGATGACCATGCCACACATGTCACACTGTACTCAAATGGCCTTCACGGTCACCAGATCTGAATCCAGTAGAGGATTTTTGGGATGTGGTGGAACAGGAGATTCGCATTATCACGTGCAGCCAAAAAATCTGCAGCTACTGTGTGAAGCTTTGATCTCAATATTGACCTAAATCTCTGAGGAATGTTTCCAGCACCTTGTTGAATCTATCCAATGAAGAATCAAGACTGGAGGGGTTCAATCTGCTACCAACAAAGCAGCTGTGCAGCAAGATGCAGTAAACACTTTAGGTTTGTAAATAATGATGAATATTGTAAAATATTAACATGGGGCTATAATTCTTTCCCTTATATACACTGTTATAATGGTGGACGCTCACATAGAGTAAAGTCATCCTTATGAGTAAAACTGAAAATGAGTGAAAATGAACACATCTTTCA